GAGTTTCACTCTTGTTGCCCAGGCTGCAGTGCAATGGTGCCATCTCAGCTCACTGCAACCTCTGCCTCCCAGGTTCAAGCAATTCTCCTGCCTCAGCCTCCCAAGTAGCTGGCATTATAGGCGTGTACCACCACGCCCAGCTAATTTTTGTATTTTTAGTAGAGACGGGGTTTCACCATGTTGACCAGGATGGTCTCGATCTCTTGACCTCAGGTGATCCACCCACCTCAGCCTTCCAAAGTGCTGGGATTACAGGCGTGAGCCACCACGGCCAGCATTGGTATTTCTTTGTGTGAATAAATCACTGTTGGTGGTCCCTTCTGCCAAATGACTACCAAATATTGGTAGTCATTTGGATTGTTTCTGTTTTTATTTTTATGAACAGTATTACTAAGAACATTTTTGTACATGTTTATGTATGTGTACATATTTCTTTTGTACACATGCCCAGGACTAGGATTGCTAGATCATAGAATATGTATGTCTTTAACTTTTTTAGATAATGCCATTTGTTTTGCAATGTGGTGGTATTCATGTATACTCTGATCAGCAGGCTTATTTTGGAAGGAAAAATAGGACACTACTGAAAAATAACAATAAAGTGAATGACTAAAGAGTAAGTAGGCTAAGTTATTATTTATTTATTTATTTATTTATTTGAAATAGGATCTTGTTCTGTTGCCCAGGCTGCGATATAGTGGGGCTATTATGGTTCATTGCAGCCTTGACCTCCTGGGCTCAAGGAATCCTCTTGCCTCAGCCTTCTCAGTAGCTGGGACCACAGGCACATGCTGCCATGTCTGGCTCATTTTAAAATTTTTTGTAGAGATGGGGACTGACTATGTTGCCTAGGCTGGTTTTGAACTCCTAGAATCAAGCAATCCTTCCACTTCAGCTTCCCAAAGTGCTAGGGTTATAGGCATGAATTACCATGCCTGGCCCAGACTGTGCTAAATTATGTTGTAGTAACAAACAACCCTAAAATCCCTGTGATAAATATACCAAAGATTTATTTCTCATTCACTGAAGATAAGTAGGGAAACTGCTGATTATAGTCACTTAGGTACCAAAGCTACAATCATATTGAATATTATTATTTTTTAGAGACAGGATCTTGCTCTGTCACCCAGCCTGGAATATGGTGGTACTGGTCATAGCTCACTGCAGCCTCAAACTCCTGGGGTCAAGCAATTTTATGCCTCAGCCTCCCAAGTAGCTAGGAATATACATGTGTGCCACCATGCCCGACTCTTTTTGTTTTGTTTTGTTTTTGTAGAGACAGGGTCTTGCTGTGTTACCCAAGGCTGGTCTCGGAATTCCTGGCGTCAAGTGATCTTCCCACCTTGGTCTCTCAAGGTGTCGGCATGAGCTACCAGGCTTGACCACCATATAAAATATTAGTTGCTAATCCAGAGGGGAATAAAAGAGCTCTGGAGGGTTTTGCGCAGGCAGTTAAATGCTCAGCAGGTCACTTTTGCTCACAGCTATTGTCCAGGAGTAATCATCTTGTTCCACTGACCCACAAGGGAACCTGGAACTGCAATCCTATGGTGATCCTTGAGAGGGGCAAGATCAGAGATATTTGCCAAACAGTATTAATGACTACCATACTTTACCAGATATCAAGAATTATTATAAAACTATAATAATTAAGACAATGTGGTATTTACACAGTATGGCAAATAAGTCAGTGTAACAAAATTAGTAATTCAGAAATAGTCATAGGAAACTTGCTACTTGCCCTGTGAATCGAAGGAGAAATTGGATTTTTCAATAAATATTGTTTAGACAATTAGTTATCTCTGTAGGGAAAAGAAAAAGGAAATTAGTTTTCTACTTCATACCATACCAAAAATAAGAATTTCAGGTGAATTAAGGGCTAAAATGTGGCTCACACCTCTAACCTCAGCACTCTGGGAAGCCGAGGTGGGAGAATTGCTTGAGCCTAGGAGTTTGAAACAAACCTGGGCAACAAAATGAGATCCTGTCTCTATAACAAGTCAAAAATTAGGCAGGCATGGTGGTGCACACCTGTTGGCCCAGGTACTTGGAAGGCTGAGGCAGGAGGTTTGCTTGAGCCCAGGAGGTTGAGGCTGCAGTGAACTGTGTTTGTGCCACTATACTCTAACCTGGGTGACAGAATGAGATTCTTGTCTCCATTTTTTTTTTTTTTAAGTTTTAGAAGAAAATTTAAGAGACTATCATCACCTCAGGAATAGGGAAGTACTTATTAAATAAGACATGAAAAGTAAAATGTTAAGAAATTGATAAATTTTACTACAGAAATTCAAAAACTTTCATTCATTAAAGACTCCATAAAGAATGCAAAGAGACAAGGCTGCAAACCTGGAGAAAGAATCTTCAACATATATATGCAACAAAAGATTAGTATCCGGCATAGAACTCCAGAGAATTCCTATAAAAAATAAGTAAAAGATAAATGAGTCAAGAAAAAAATGGACAAAGCTACTAACAGCCATTTCTCAGGATAGGAAACCCAAATAACACTTACGCATATGAAAAATGCTTACCACCATTAGTAATCTAAGAAATGTAAATTAAGCCATACGCTTCAGGTTGGTAATCATTTTAAAATCTGATAAAATTATTACGGCCAGGCTGTGGTGGCTCACACCTGAAATCCCAGCACTTTGGGAGGCTGAGGCAGGAGGATCACTGAGCCTAGGAGTTTGAGACCACCATGGACAACAAAGTGAGACCCTGTCTCTACAAAAACATTTTAAAAAAAATTAGCTGGGCATGGTGGCGTATGCATGTGGTCCTAGCTACTTGGGAGGCTGAAGTGGGAAGATCACTTGAGCCCAAGAGGTTGAGGCTGCAGTGAGCCTTGATCGCACCACTGCACTCCAGCATGAGTGACAGAGCAAGACCCTATCTCAAAAAGAAAAAAAAAAATTCAGTGCTACCAAAAAGGTAGAATAATGAGAACTTTACATACATTACTAGCTGGAATATAAATTGATACCACTACTTAGGAAAACAGTTTGTCATTACTTAGTAAAATT